AAAAAAAATAAAAATCTCCAGGTATTTCCCTACCCAGAGCTGGTAATCTAAACAGGGCTGGACTACCCTGGGCAATCTAGGTCTGGGCAGAAATCCTTTAGCCAATGGATATGTTTGGTGGGATCAAAGCCAATCCTACAGAATTGTTTGTAAAAATGTGTGTTTGCAAAAAAGAGAAATGTAAATAATTCAGATTCATTTATTTTTTGTAAACACACATTTTTACAAACAGTGCTGTATGAACAGGAGACCCTTGCTTATTTCCTACATTAAAGTTTTCCTTCTCACCCCACCAAACCTTCCACACAGAAAAGAGCATGTTTCCCTCAGGCTAAGCAAACATTCTACTTTGAGGTATGAAGAACTAATTTGACTACTAACAAGGAATCTTTCTTCTCTCATCCATTTTCCTTAGGGGAAAAACAAAACAAAACAGCAGTCTAGTGCTCTCAATGGAGTATGCTTCCAAAGTTCCTCAAGTTAGCAGCTTCTATATATGCAAAAGCAGATCTCAAGATTTAACTCAGTGGTACTACAGAGAAAGTCCCCAACAATAATCTCTGCAAAGAAGTTCAAAGCAAGATGCTTTAGGTCTTTTGGTGTTCTGATAAAGTTTTCTAGCAGGATTCTAGTCAGAAAATAACAATTTCCCCCAGATCAATTCAGTACCTCTAGTGCTAAAGACTGCCATTTATGGTAGTTAGCAGAGTATAGTAGAACTTCCCCAGAGTAGCACACTGGACAGAACTGACTGCAGAAAGAACATGAGCACATCCTGTCTCAATAGGCTAAATAATTACAACACAGCATCCTCATTTCAGGATATCCTTGCCTTGAACCCGCAACGTTTTTTTTTCAAAAAATGCAACACTCCACCAATATGTCATGGTGTTTCAGTTTTCATTAACCAGGACTAGGAGGACGCTGCAATGACAAAGATTTTGACAGTACAAACATCTCTCCTTTTCTATTTACATATTTTCAAAAATACTTCTGGCTGGCCGTAAATCTATGGAAGAATCCACAAAAGAGGTACCTGAGTATGATTTTCAAGAAGAGAAGCTTCCATAGTTTTGTGTAGTCCTATATAGCACCGTAACACCTCCCCGTGACAAGCAAAAGACATTCTGAATAACTAATTGGATCATTTTTACAGGTGACACGATTCAGTCCTTTAGCACAGAGTGTTGTTTTGGTAAGCATAGCTCTCCTGATAGCTTGTTCACCCCAGTCAGGGTTGTCTGGTAGCTCTGTAAAGCTATATACTAGCGCCAGAATCCTGACTTCAGTCAAGCATCCCATGTGCTCCGGCAGAGAGAATGCTGAACATGTGACAAGCTTAAGCTCATCTCACTGGGCAGCCAGACCTCTGCAATGTGCATAACTGCTGACTGGTTTAAGCTGTACCTTAATGTTTCTGGCTGTGAGAAAGACATCTATGCAGCTTAAGTAAGTCTACAAAGTGTGGAGCAGCTCAAGAAGTAAAAGGGGGATGGGCAGAGCTTCTAGGAGTCAGTGGATGGGACTTCGATACTCTGAAGAGAGCCATGTCCCTCTCCCAATCTAGCAGGCAAGTTGCTTCACTTTCTGTGCCTTTTGTTTTCTACTTGCCTCCCATGCAAGTCCTTCCATGAAATTTCTCCCTGCATTTCCTCCCACACTATTTCCCCTTTCCTTCCTCCTGGCAGCCCCATATCCTCTCCCTTTCCCTGCTTCCTCCTCTCTTTCCAAACCAGTCAACCTATCTTTTATATTTCATTTACATCATTCTCCTGTCCTCCATTTTTTCTTCAGAATACTAGTGAGAGCTATGTTAGGTGGGGAGTGTGGGACTGGCCCTAGATCATCCAATAAGCTTCCATGGTAGAATGGGGATTCAAACCTGGGTCTCCCAAACCTCATCTAAAACTCTAACCACTACACCAAAACAGGCCTGGAAATTGCCCTGCCCCCTCACCCTGCCTTTTCCTGACAAAGCTTGAAGGCTAAACAAAAAAGGAGATCACACAGCAGTATAGTAGTAACAACAATGGGAAAGAGCTGTGAAGCAGGACACAATAGAACTGGTAACTATGTTAATATATTGGACAGATACAATGTGGGCAGTACATGAATATAATAATTGTACAAAGCACAGTAATTCTAAATATGAATCTTCTGATATACAATGTAATATTCCAAAAAATTCTCTTTCCAAAATAGTTTTTTCCAACAAAGAATCTGGATATTGAATACTTTGTTTCGATAATCTTTCTCAAGACCAGCTCAGCATTAATACAGAGTGGTTTCTAAAAAGTGTCACTGGTGGCCCATCAATAGTAATATAATTGTCACTGCAAACCTCTTTGAATACCCTGGAAGGGCAGTTCCTTCTACATTACTAGTCTGAAAGTACAGTTTTCAGGAAACTTATGCCTTTGAAATATTTATAATAATTTTCTTGAGGAAGATTATCGAAATGAAGTCTTCAATGTCCGAATTCTTTGTTGAAGAGAATTATTTTGGAAAGATAATTATTCAGAATATTTCATTGTGTATCAGAAGATTCATATCTAGAATTATTGTGCTTTATTGTGCAGTGATTATATTCATGTACCACACACATTGTATTTGTCCAATATATTAACATTATTACTAGTTCTATTGAATCCTGCTTCAAGACTTGAAGGCTGGCAATATTCTTGTCGCTGCCTAGTAACCCCCACAATGGCCACTGTAGAGGGCATTTGTTTCTTAAAGTTACAGGTGCTGCTTCTATTATTGTGGAGGTGGGTTTAACCCCCAACACTTTTTTGATTATTTTTTAAGATTTCAGACTTTTCTACAAACCTGGAGATTTCTGACGTTTTGTAGAAAGATCGGTCTTGTATGTTCATAGCTACAATCTCCAGACTTAAGTGTCTATAGATGGGGGCCCCTTAAGAATTAGATAAACTGATGTGAAATTCTTAATTTTGGAAGCAAGTAAATTATGCACTTAACTTGATTTATGCAATTTACTGTAGAGGTAGAACCTGAATTTTATTGGTACAAAAAAGGCACAGAGCCATAACAAGAAAACTGTAACAGAAGTCACAAATCACTGTCATAAGCCCTCCCTTCTTTAGAACCAGTGGCATTTGTGAACCTATTCAGAAGATTAAAAGCCATGACAGAGAGATCTTGGGGATTAAGAAAAAAGCAAAATCTAACTAGCCAGCCATACCTTTCCTCGTGCTAGAGCCTTGTAGGCAACGCGGATGATGAAATAAGACCAGATAACATGTAGAATTTGTAAGAGTATAAGAAGCCCATTGAACAGCCACCATGATGGGTAAGGGCCAATCAGTTCCCAGCTTTCAAACAGTGTTGTATTAAGTATCCTGCAAAACAAAGAAAGGTATAGCTTGTTACATTAGCTGGTTTGCTCATTTGTCACAACTCCCAGCTTCTCACTGGGAACCAAACTGACTGTAACATGGAAAGAATATTAAGTTTGTCCTTCACACAATGTTGATGCCTCCAAACTTAGGGATCCCAGCATTTGAACAGACATTCCTGAAATGGCAGAGGCTTTTCACTAATACTGTCCCACAGTTTTTGTATACCACGGTTGAGCCAAGGGATGAAATACTCACCAATTCATCCCCTTTCTAAATGACATACAAATAGTGTGCCCTCTCCATTACAGAGTCTCAAGTGCTAGAGAAGGGGCATTAACCTTCCCCCACCATGCAGCCATCATTTGAACCAGGATTACACAAAGCTGCAATTTAATTAAAAAAAAAAACAACTCCAGAAAGATCTGATCATGGACCCCTCAGCCTCCCATCCCATCCTAATTCCATTCAACAGCCATGATGATTTCAGTGAATTGCTGGTAGAATCTGAAATTATTCCATGCGACCCACAGCTTATTCAAGTTGGTAACATTAAATCTGAAGACATTTCTCCAACAAGAGCATATTTTTATAAACCATGCATGGTTTGCTCAGGTTCCAGTTTTGTTACAGGGTTATTGTATTTTCTGAGAAGTTTTGCTTTCAGCTGTTGTAAAGGGGTTGAATTCAGAGTTTATTTCAAAAGGACAATTTTAGAGATGCACAAGTTCATTGAGAAGCACCATTTAGATAGATTGGACTCAGAAATTTAAGGCTTTTAAAAATGTTTCCTGCATAGAATCATGGTGAGACATGCTGAGCCCCAGACACATTTTCTCATGTCATACAGAAACTAGTGCTCAGAAAAATGCTGCCCAACATCAACAACATCCTGTTGTCTCTGCTTTCTTCCTCCTTTAATCTGTCATCTTCCAAGCCATGAAAGTAGGCCGTGTTTTAAATCTGTTATGTTTATCAATAAAACATTATTTACCCCTTGCTATAGCTGAGAAAAACCTAGACGTGGAATAAGGGAGACTTTAAAAAAAAACAGATGATATTCAGAGAGCACTTATAACTGGCATCATTTAGAGCCAGCTGATGCACTCCTTCTGGTCTTCATTATCAGGCTGCCTTCTTAATTTCAGATAAGGGACCTTCCCATTTCGAAAGGGAGAAAGGCTTATATATGAAGCAATTGACTGCAATTTCAGGAGTGCAGTATGGCATTACACAACATGCACCCAGTGGAAGAACAAAGTCACCTCCCAGTGTAATCTGAGATAAACTGGTCCCCCCAAGAAACCGAGGAATTACAATAAGGCCAGTGGAAACTACATTAAAGATTTACCAATTCTCTTAATGCACAGCAACAGTTTGCTGAGTGACACAACAATACAGGCAGATTACCATGGCGCAATCATGGCAAGTGGAGTCAGCCAAAGAGGATTTGTTTACTTAGTGCTCCTCTGAAAGGAGCAAGGTGACATCTCAAGGCATTTCTTACTTCAAAGACGTTTTCCACAGGGACAGTTCTCCCCGCGCCTGCGCTTATATTCCTCCGCTGCTTTCCCTCATTTCCGCAGATGTATTTGCAGTCCCAATCGCAGTTTGCCCCCTCTTGCAGCACAGCATGGGAATTCCAGGAAACGGGGAAGTCTGATGCTGTGGGGACAAACTGCATTTTTGCACCTGGGACTGCAAATACATCTGTGGAAACGAGGGAAAGCAGCAGAGGAATACAAGTCCAGGCACGGGGAGAACCGTCCCGGCGGAAAACGTACCAGTCTTCCTTTGCTTCAGGGAAAACCCGTTAATCAGATCTGAGGATGGCATGAATGAGCAGCTCAGAGACATATTCACTTCTCAAAGCATTTTGCAAATAGAGAAGAAATTAAGATATACTACCCAGAAGCAAGAAATCAAGGGCAGGAAGGACTAAGAAAGCCGCAAGCACGGCTCCTCATCCTCAGTGCAAGGGATAAGTAAACACTTAAACACTATGTTTAGTAGCAAGTTTGGGGATGAAATGAGTCTACCAAGACCAAGGTGGCTTTCTACTGGATGAAAAACAGGTTGCTTACCTGTAACTGATGATCTTCGAGTGGTCATCTGTGCAGTCACACCTATGGGATCCAGCGCAGGCGCACTGGATCCCATAGGTGTGATGCACAAGAGACCACGAAGAAGATAGCACAGATAAATTGGGACAGCAAAATGCAAAGCTAAGACCCCATAGTTCTAGCTGCCAAATTTCTAATACTTTCAAACTCTCAACTTGAATCCAACAAACATAAGCTACCATATCATTAAATTGGTCCTCTGGAGCGATCATCAGAGCTTCATTGTGTAGTGGCCCTTAGGGGCCTAAGGACCCTGCACCAACTAGGAACACTTGATTTTTTTCCCATTCTAACCTGAGATTTCTTAATAGCTATGTTTCAGGGAAGGTCTTAAGAAATGTAAGGTCCCCTCTTACAACAATGCAAATATCCCAGCAGCAGCATGAATATCAACCTAACATTAGCTACATTTAGGGTGTAGTAGAATGCACATACATACACAAATCCCTGCTGCCCTGTGGGCTGCTGCTTGCACTTTGTGCTCATGGTATATGCATCGTCAGTGAATCATGACAGCCAACGCTGGGGCACACAGCAGAAGCGGCAGCAGAAAAAGGTGCAGGTAGTAATAGGGACGGAGAAGACTGGAGAAAGAGCAAGAAGTTCATCAGACTTTCTGGAGAGGTTGTGTAAGCATGAGGCGACCCACCTGCTAAAGAAAAGCTATGCAGAAGCCACTTTATGGTGTTTTCCCTTAGAATACTATCACCTGCATATCAGAAGGAGGAATCAGTGACAATACCCCTCCAGTGAGAATGAACCAAGGCTGGGTATAGTTTACAAAAACAACAAACAGACGAGACTTACCTGAAGACGGCCAAGACTGCAGCACAGGGGCAGGAGGGGTCTGAAGGAGGCCTTTGCATAATGGCCAGCAAAAGCAGGAGCCCCAGACCACCATGCCGGCCTGGTTAAGAGTGGGAAGTTTTGGCAGGCTATACTCAGGGGTAATGTAGAGCCCCCCAGTTCTTTTTAAGCCACACTGCCTGGTAGCTCTGGCAGCAAGGTTTTTCTCGGATTCCACCCCCCCTTTGTTCTGTGTATGTATATTTTTATTATATTTTTATTATCACAGCTGGGCAGTTCTGTGCATCTGGGCAGATCCTTTTGGGAAGATGGGCCTGCATGTCCACTCCCCGCCCCTTAAGAAATCTGGGGGCTTGAGCCTTCATGTGGTATGCCCAGCTCGGGGTCTGTGCCCAGGCTCACCACAGGTGTCAAATGGTACCACTCAGCGGCAGCTGCCCTTATGATACCACTAATATTTGTCACTCCTGGGTTTTCCCCAGCAGGCAGGCTGAGGGACATTTTATCAAGTGGCAGGCAGGTTGCTAGATTTCCCAGGATCCTCCTCCATGCTTTGCCAATGCTCCTTGGTCTGCAATCAATACATACTGTGGCCTTTTTTTACTCCAAAATGTTATGGTGGTGTGCTTGTGTCTCCCTGCAAGACCTCTTCTTACTAAGCCCTGGGCCTGTATAGCTGAACATTAATTCCAGCAGTGCAAACAGGATCGCTGTCAGGAAAACACACCAACATTTAGCCAACAATTTATTCAAAAGAATGAACCTTGCATGTGTGCAAGCTTTTCACACTAAAAAAGTGATGTCCTTGGTAAACATGAAGAAACTACTACTACAGGATCCAAGTTAAATATACTCAAAATTGTGGGAAAGTAGGATCCGTACCCAGAATGGAAATTAATGAGAATTTCTCTTTCTCTTTACATTTGATGTACAAAGGGGTTACTATGGCACTGAGCAACTTTGAAGTCATCTAATTTAAGGTCACCTTTAGCTATTTTGTCACAGTAAAATAAGAGATCATCAGGTCATGTCCTTATCTGTATTACCATCTCCTCACCTGTATCACTGTCTTTGTAGCTTATCAGACAACTGACCCCTTAATAGGTGCCTACTCATCACACTCCTCCAATTACTCCCATCACTGAGGACCTCTATGGAATATAACTACTAAGTTACAGACACCTCACTTCGGGCTCTGGACACTATGGACTCTTAACTCTCCCCCAGATCCCTTGTGCAGGCCATCGACTGTGTACTACTCCCAGTAAGGAACTTTCTCACCCCCAGATACTTACCAGATAGGAAAAATCCCCAAACGAGTAAAAATAAAGATGGCGCTAAACAGTATGAAGGTCAAATCACAAAATCGCTGATACTTGGCATAATTGGCCAGTTTTGCTGCCTAGAAAAAGTGGGAAGCATTAGAAAAACTCCTGCTGCCAAAACAATACATTCCATCATTTAGGAAGCAGAACATTAAAGCAATATGATTCTTATATTTAGTGCATCTGGAATAACTATGAGTTATACAAAAATGAACTAAAAAGACACAAGACTTGCTCTCAACTTTATGGTCTAAGAGACAAGACACACAAAGCAAGTTTTCTAAACCTACATATATTCCCTATATATTCTTCCCCAGTTCTACAACCTCCTGGGATCCTTAAACCAAGATGACTTAATCCACAAAGAAATGGAATTTAAATACCAAACTGGCCAAGACCTAAAACAACACTACATTCAAGCGGATTTAACCTACAAGGAGTATAACAGATCTACTAAAAGTCTGCTAAAATCTGGAATAGTTACAAAAGAAAAAACATCCCAGAAAGAAGATAAAACAGAACTTAAGGAATCCTTAACTACACTAAACACTTACTATAGTTGGCGATACTTAAAAGAAATCTTTTCTACTTTTAAGGGCAAGAGGCATAGAATTATGACCTTACTGAAGTTGAGAAGCTACAAAAAGAAGAAAAAAATAAAGCTGTATAAATAAGATTGGATAAGGGAATTTTTGTTTATATGTAACTGAATAAGATGGGCTAGGGAATTCATAACAATATGTAACTGAGTAACACTGACTAATCCTTAAATAAGATTTTTGTTCAGGCTAGGGAATCTTTAGACATATGTAATTAAGCAATCACTGAATCTCATTGAATGTTTTGTTAAGTTTATGATACACAGCCTGCATTTCATGTGGTTATATTGTTTGTCATAATAGTCTCTCTTAAGAAAGAATTTGAGCCTTGAATGTAATTAAGATTAAAGATACCTACTTAAATGAAACTACCCATTCGACCTAATGTCCTTAAACTATTCCTAGTAACCTGACTCCAGACTCAGATTCATTTATTTCTTCATATCTTGCTACAGCTTGGGGAAAGAACTTTGCAACACCAAGGCAGTCTTGTGTTCAATACCTACTGGGAGCACTCTCAGTTCCCCTCCAAAAGGTAATTTGCCCTCCCATGAAGAAGCGGCAAAATCCCTAATTCTCTTATATCAGACAAAAAACACATTCCAAAAGCCAATGCTCCAAGACTGAAGATACATGGTAGGCAGGATTCATTTTGTACAAAATACAAATTTAGGTAAACCATTAGAAAAGGAAGGGACAGGATGGCATGTTTTAGGGTCCTCATGGGGAAAAAAATGTTTAGGGTCCTCATGGGGAAAAAAATGTTTTAGGGTTCTCATGGGGAAAAAACCCAAAAGGACACAAAAAAGCCTGTTGTCAGGTAAGAGTTTGTACCTCTCCAGACTAGTGACAATACCTCTAAAGAAGACTGCCTCACACTTTAACAAACCATACTACTTGGAGTGCTTGGGAAGGATCCTTTCTCAGTGCATGAGTGGTACCAGATTATTCTATAATACATAAGTAACATTCAAAGTGTTTGTGTATTGGAAGAGAGGGACATTTACTGGAAGTGAGAACTTGGTTACTATGATGAAGGCACCCATCTTTAACTCTACACACAATCATAACAACTCGAAGGCATATGTCTTCTCTCTTATAGAGACTACATATGGAAATATACTTTAGAAAGACATTTGAATACAAATGAGACTGGTGATGAAAACTCATTAGAGCAAATAAGGCAATAAACCAAATGGAAGCAGATGTACTCACTTCTAACCAGAAATCTGCTACATCGTGAAGGCATATAACCAGGCTTCCTACCCGTACCATGTTGTTAATGTAAGAGAAGCTAATAAGTCCAACTGCAACCAAATGGTGGACAAACATCATTAGGAAATCCTGAAAGAAGACACAGAAGCATGACGAGGCTATGGAGACCAAGGGCATTATGTTATATATCACCCAGCATAATCTGGATTTAGCCAGCATTTATGAAATCTTTTCAGTATGAAGTTTATCATTTTGAATCCAGAAGAGTTTTTGTTACTGAATAGTGGTGTATAAATCTGCAAAGCTGTCATCTTAACAATGAAGCAAAACTGCTACATCAATAACATTTATGGGAACCTATGCTTTTTCTTCCAAATGAGAAACTACTGACAATGTGGATACAAACTCTAATAAATATTCAAATAGAAAAGGGAGAGGGGGATTGAATTGCCAAGAAATGGGAAGAGTATGCTTATTAAATGTTGCAATTCTCTATTCTAGATCCAAGTCCTTGCACTCCTACTTCAATGAGATTATGTATCTCATTCTCTACTATTTCAGTCACAAATAGTTCTGTACAAGAAAAACTACCATCCCTACCCATTTTATGTAAAAATAGGTTGCTTACACACGGTTTTCCAAATCAGAATAGGTTTTTTGGAGCATCTCCACAAACACCATCCCCTAATAGGGATGGGTACAAACTGGAAAAATTGTGGTTCATGGGGTTCATTTGATTAAACGAACCATGAACTTAAACTTTTCTGTTTCCTGAACCAATTTGTTGTTTGTTGTCATAGAACAGCCCCACCCAGAAGTGAGCCCTGAAGGCATTTAAATGCCACTGGAGCACTGGCCTGCGGCCCCACCAAAGTAAGTTCAAAAGGCCTTTATAGGCCTTTGGAGCTCCCAGGGTGGGCTCTGAAGGCTTTTATAGGTCTTAAATGCCCTTATATGGGCAGGCCCCACCTGGAAGTGGCCCTGCCATTTAAGGGCATATAAGGCCTATAAAAGCCTCAGGCACCTTCTCTGGGAGCTCAGGCTGGGTGACCCGACCCAGAAGTGAGCTCCAAAGGCATTTAAATGCATTTGAAAATCACTCAGGTGGGGCTGCGGCTTCGGAGCTCACTTCTGGGCGGCCTGCCAGACCCAGAAGCAAGCTCTGAAGGCATTTAAATGCCTTTGAAGCCCAAGAACGTGTCTCCCACGAACCTCCATGAAAAAAAATTGGAGGCATGTGGGTGGATTGTGGAAGACAAGTTCTCTCGTACCTCTGATTCGCAAACCACGAACCGGCCTGGTTCATGCTCTTACTGAGGTTTGTTTGGGGGACCGTGCCCATTCATATCCCCTAATCATTTACTTTCTGTGCTTACCTCCACTTCCCTGTGATCTTCCTAAAACCTGGTTTGGTACAATCTTTTTGGAGAGGTTCATAAGCCATGTGGAGAGGAAAGTGCATATTTTTGCATGTCCCTCCCACATTGGCACCACCACCCCTCCATATTTCCTCCTGAAACTGGGGTGGTGGTGTTTTTCTAAAAAAGGGCAACTAGCATACTGCTGCAGCATTATAATGTTATAACATTTTTTCCTCTGAATTCCACCTTTCATTTCAAAAATGAAAGTAACTCTATCCCCCTTTGCTGCAGAGACATGTTCCCCTCCCTTGATATCTCCATAATAAAAGGAGCTAGTGACTTTATTAAAACATAAAGAAAGGTGAGAATTCAGGGGACCTAGTGATTGCCTCATTATAAGATTATAGTAATATATCAGCTCTCAGTTTTCAAAAGCCTGAAAACGTCCTCTCTGAGGAGGGAATGGTGGCCATGAGGATCTGAGACAAGGAAAGTGGGGGGGGACTACATTGTGGATGCTCTGCTGGCAATGAAAGTTACATGAGAATCATCGCCATGTGGAAGCAGACGTATGTAGTTTTGCCTGCTTTCTTCTAGAGTAGGATTAAAACATTATTAAATAATCATCTAGGGCTGCGGTCACATGGAGCATTAGGCACGCTAGAGGGACGGAAGATAGGCGGAGTTTCCGGGCGTGATCTCACCGGCACATCTGGGAAGCGTTGGGCTCTCGTGGCGCAACCGAGGCTTCCCGCCGAAGACGCGCAGTAAAAAACTAGTACCTCGGAGGTACTAGTTTCCTGAAACCACGGGGCAAGGGCGGGCGTGTGATCGCGTTTCTGGAGGTAGTTCCGGCGCCCGTCCATGTCCCCTCGGGAAAATTTTTTTTTTCCAAAATCTCCACGGATGCGCACACGCACCCAAGGGAGCATGCGCACATTTGAGTTTAAATAAAAAAACAACCAACCCGTTTGCCCCGCGCCCCGTTTCTTTGCCGCGCCGCAGGACAGTGGAGTGATCGGCACCTCCCCCCTACCATGGGACCTCGATCGGTAGGTCTGATCAAGCAACCGCGCGGTTTTTAGCCCCGGGGCTAACAGCCACGTTTCCCCCCCGCATTTTCCTGCCCGTGTGACCGGGACCAAAATCTATCAGCCTCAGTGACCAGTGAAAGAAAGGAGCTCAACCTGGTTGTGCCCATGTGTCATAGATTTCAACATTTGTTCTGACTCTCTCCAATATCTCAGCCAACCAGCAGAATAACCTGTTCAGTGACAGGTGTTGATTTTATCAGCTTCTTTGGAGGAAGATGTATATCCTGCACAGGCTGTAACTATCCTGGGGCATCTAACAATACTATAATATTTCTCATGATACTTGAGATTTCCTGGAAGACTGCAAGCTGGATCACCCTCAATGAAATATGATGGAAGATCTTTTAAGTTTCCATGAGAATAGTGGTCACAACATTTTCAAAATGCACACATACAGAGGAAGGAAATAGCCTTACAATCGAGGAAGAGTACTTCTCACTTTTCTTTCAACCCAATTAAGTCACACACTGTGATTCTGTTTAAATTCCATCTGTAACCTAACATATCCAATCCAACCTTTGTTTGGAGAATAAAGAACTTTTTTTCCTGCCTTGTACACATATGTCTTAATAGCCCATGGTATAAATTTAATGCTAGTTGGCCCAATCCAATAGCAAAGTGTCATTTTCTCTACCATTTATTAAATACATTAGCTGTAATACTAATGGAAGTCTTGTTCTCCTTTGGATACTATGGATAGAATAGAACAGTTTCCACCTGGCTGGCACCCTTTTCCACTCCTTCTGCTGGTCATCTGCCTTGCCCCCCACCCCCACCCACAAAGTGGCCAGCAGTTTGAAACTGGATTAATTAGTATTTGCCATCTAACCTCCTTTTTTGAAATGTGCTATTAATGTTTTTAATTGTGGAGTGCTAAGGGGCTGCGGTGGCTCAGAGGTTAAGACGCTGAGCTGCAGACCAGAATGTCTGTAGCTCAGCAGTTCAAGACCCTAGTGCCGCGCGACGGAGTGAGCTCCTATCTCTGCAGGCCCATAGCCAGGATCTTTTTGTTCAGGGGGCTTTTAAATAAGTCAGGTGGCACCTTCGCACACACACCCAAGCCTGGGAGCGCCCCATACAAGACCCCAGTCTCTCATGCAAGCCACCAAGGGACAGGCATAGTGAAGGGTTGAGCCCCCCATTGCCAAACAGCCTGAAACAGAGCTCCAAGTGCCACTAAGGGAAAAGTGGCATGCCCCACCCCCAGCCCCCGACTGCCCTCCCTGGAACCCAACTCGTGCAAGGTTGGCCTGCTGGGGTCTCTAACCATTCACTCAGCCTCACCTGGGGCCATGTGTACAGCAACAGCAGTGCACCAACCCAGCCAAGTGCACCAAGCTTCACTGCCTCACCCGTCACCCAGGGAGGGAAGAAGGGCAGCCAGCACTGTCCGGCCGGCCAGCTGCCTGCCCAGCCTGGCGAGCCTGCCTTGGGCCTCACTACAGCTGAGTGGTGGATGGGGAGAGCCAGAGCAGGCACACATGTGTCCCCTCCGCCGGTGCCTGCTTGCCTTTTGGCTGCCACTCCCACTGCTGATAGTGGGGAGGTTGTGAGCTCCTTGGTGGCGGCACTCTCCACCTGGCTTTGCAAAAAGTCAGAGGCCTGGCCAGTAAGTTGGGGGGCCCGGTCTCGAGATGCCCCACTGTAGCTACAGGCCTCCGTCTCTGGCCCCAGCTCCTGCCAACCTAGCAGTTCAAAAGCAAGACACTGCAAGTAGATTAAATAGATACCGCTTCGGTGGGAAAGAAACAGTGTTCTGTGCGCCTTGGTGTTTAGTCATGCCGGCCACATGACCACAGAGAAGTCTTCGGACAATGTTGGCTCTTTGGCTTGGAAACTGAGGTGAGCGCCACCCCCTAGAGTCGGATTCGACTGGCTTTCAAGCAAGGAAAACCTTTTCCTTACTTTCTTCTGAAACCAAAAAAGGTTTTGAGTTTTATTGCAGAGTTCTACATACAGAGCTTTGTCTTAAAGGTGCCACTGGACTCAAACTTTGTTCTGCTGCTTCAGACCAACATGGCTACCAATCTGAATTTATCATTTATCATAATCTTTTGTTTCCTGAAAAAGAACCATGTTATCTTATGGGTCAAAAACAGTATAACTAGCCTAGCTTTAGAGCCAGTAAACTGAACTGCAACTGAGACTCCCAACACACACTGGATCCCTCCTTTCTTAAAGTCTGATTTCTACGCAGATCAGGAGAGATATATCTTTGCTCCCCATCTTGATCTATCTCCCTTTATTTGCCAAACCACACAGAGATCGGGCACTTGGCTCCTCTCTGCTATTTAGGCCCTCACATCTAGAAGACTGGACACCTCTGTCCCAATAGATTGCACTTCTCCTCCGTACTATTCCCCATTTTCCACCGTTTACCCCTTTAGCTCAAAAAGTAACTCCTGCTCCAAATTGAAAATAGCTCTGATTGATTTTTGGTTGTTGCTGTTATATTGTTAGCATAAGGAATATGCTATTTGTCTGTGCTTTGATTTGGTATTTTGTAGTATTTCCTTAGGATAAGCCCTTTCCTCCCCAGCTACTGTACCAACTCCTCCATAAACTCCATATTCCTTTTAAAATCAGGTCTCTGTCATCCTTTTCCTACGGAAAACTTTCTACCCTCAACCACCTCTTTAGGTAAAAGATCTGGCACAAGCATGCAAACTAATTCCCTATTACAGTCTGAACACATATTCAAGTGTTTGTGAGGATGGGGTAACACTACTAGACCTTGAGCTCTAGAAACTTTGTCCTTGCCCTCTGAAAACCCAGTGACAAATGAATTTCAAATGTGTGTGTGGGGGGACAACCAAGGATTAATAAGCCAGTGATAACAAGATCGGCTTCTTCCCAAGACCAAGCAGCACAGTTTTATTTCAAAGGATTCCAGGCCCCCAGATGCTTTCCCTTATAGATACTGTTAATGCTTGATCTGCCTCAATTTGTGCTGTGTGCTCTTCTCAAGCTATATATATTCACCAACTCAATTTTACTCTTGATGCAACTGATTCCTACCTAGATCGGTACTTATTTGTCCTTCACACAGTTTCTATTGCTGAAGCAGAAAATGATAATTTCTGGGGTGGTAGCCCACCCTACTTTTTATTTCTTCTCAAAGGTCTGAACTGTTTACTATTTGACACAGAAACTCATTCAGACGATACATATGGCATACATGCAATCCAGCCTTGGGTGTTGAACAATAAAATATTTATTCCTGGAATGTATGGCCAAGCAGACATGGGATTCAGCAGCTTCCAGTGATCAAGAGGAACAAACAGTTCTTCCCCCACCCCTCAAAATGAGAAATCTCTTAACACACAGCTATTAAATCAGCAAGATTACACTATCAAGGCATCCAAATCACAATTTTGTTAGGTACCTCTATTTGCAAAGGACTATCTGAACAGGTACCCAGAGACACTATCCTACAACGTCAAAGATCACACTTAAGAATCATTCTCTAATCATGTGTGGAGTGTTATGTGTAGAGTGGCCCTTAGTCCCCCATCTCCACTACCAAATGTTAACGTGGAGGTGATTCAGCATCTCAGGAGCATCTCAGGAGCACAGTTCACACATCACAAGTTTGCATTTTGATGCCAGACTTCTAATCAAAGATACAAATCAGTCATTTTATTGCTAGGCACTGATTGAGCCTTCTCATTAAAAAGCAAGGGGAATGAACACAAGGCTTCTGCTCTTACCTTTCGCCTAACATCTGTAAACTGTGAAAACACAAGTGACCAGTAAAAGGCCAGCTGTATGATATAATAGTAATAAAGTCCGGAAATTAGAGGCTGAAAAACAGAAGAAAAAAACTTGATTAACAGGGTTATCCAGCTTTTCTAAGTAGGTTTTTTCCCCACCTTATAGAAAATTGACTTAATCATCCAGTACTGATATGTATATAAAAACAGTTCCCAGCAATTTATTTAATCAAGAAACAGAAGCCAAGGGGCATGAAGACAGAGAAAAGTGATGATGTAGTTCCCACTATGGGCAACTTCAGTGGGAAGAGCCACTGGGATGCAATTCTTGCAGGAACAAATCCTGCTTTGAACAGTGAGATCAGTTTACCCTGGGCACAGGGAAAGTCTAGCTCCCATCCCGATCATATCTACAAACAGGTGCCTTTTCTTGATCCTGTAAATGAATGGCTATGAAGAGAAGGCTGCACTTGTGGGCACCTTGAATGCGACTACTTGGTTAGAGGCAGTTTTAGAGGGTTAGGTTTGGAAAACCAGACCTGGCCTTTTCCTTTCTTCTGTCTGAGGTAGTGTATGAGAAGATGGGGGAAGAGAGAAAGAAGAGTGCTGCTGCAGGAAAGACTGGAACACTTCATTTCATTCCTGCCTCTCGAACTTGACAGGCCATCAGCTAGTAATCAACAAAGCCCAGGAAAAAAAGGTACACAGTGTCAGACTACTTGCCAACTTCTTCTAAAGGAAGACTAACTATGTATCCTAATTTCAAAAGACAGATCAGGAAAGAAATTACAAGGTTCAACGAAGTAAAGAAATCTGGAAGTAAAATACTGTATTCAAGCCTCTAACTATGAATGATGGGCAATGTTATTAACAACTGGAGAATACAGAAACACAGAGACCATATTTCTATGACTGGATGGCTCTTCAGTAGATCTTATTATTTATTTGGCATTGGTTTCCCATCCATTCATATTGTGACCACAAGACCAGAGCTGGGTCTGCACTTAGAAGAAAGGTCAGTATAGAGACTTGACCTTTTCTTGCTCCTGTAACTGAATGGCTATGGAGAGAAGGCTGCACTTGTGGGCATCTTGAATGCAACTACTTGGTTAGAGGGAGGGGACAGCAGTTTTAGGGAGTTAGGTTTGGAAAACCAGACCTGGTCTTTTCCTTTTTTTTCTGTCTGAGGTAGTGTATGAGGAGATGGGGGAAGAGAGAAAGCTGCTTTGAAAGCTTCCTTCATGGTAACAGACAGTACTGTATACCTAAAGTACCAACTTCAAAGTACTGGAAGCTTCTACACCAATAGCTTCTAATCCAAAGACTTCCTATCACCTCCCATAATCAAGTGACAAATCCACGATAGCAGGACATGTTCATTAATGGGTTGTATAGCATGCCATTTGCTCTGAAAGTTTCAGTTTCTTTCAGCACGGACACATAGATATATTCCAACCAATACGAGGGTTCTGTACTCTGTATAGTACTCTAACACATGAACGAGCACATGTCCATTCAGGATGCCCTATTTATTTTGATAGAGGTAGCTTCTCCAAGGCAAGGGAGCTGCTGTCCTTCAAGGTGATTTGGTTAGCCCTTGCAAACTTGCCTTCTGGGGCAAACTACTGTATTAGGAGCAAAGTTATTATGAAAAATCTGGAGGACTTCAGAAAGCAGCACCTTAATGCATTATATAGTATCTCCACCACTCATATCAAGGTGTCTTCATAAAGCACCACACAAGCACATATCAGTAAAGACAAGACATACCTGAAAAGGGTAGTTGTACCAGCATTGTCGCGTATCCCAAAACCAGGGTGACTACAGTGGGGGAAGAGAAAAAAGAATAATCTTTTGTGTGTGTGGTTCTTTTTCAGCAATACGTCTTTCCCTTCCCTAGCAGTGCTGATTCAAAAAGGATTCATTTTATTTCCTTGGTTCCTTGATTCACAAAAATGAAAGTCTGCTTTCTCTCGTGCACAGGGGAAGAGGTGTTCTTGCACATAATTTTTAAAAACACTACCCAAAAGCTAAGGATCAGTGACCTTCCCAAGAAAGAGAGAATGACGGTACTGTAGATCAGAAACAAGTCTGTCCAGTTCAGGGGTCAGAAAGAGTCTGACCTGAAGCATCGCTGTGAAGAAGCATGTTACAAACGCTACTTTTCCTGTTCTGCATGGATGTGATTACATGGAGAATTGGGAACCCAGTCAGGAGTGCCAGGGAAGTACCAAAGGGCCAAATGATCTCTCATCTTAATCCCACCAGCATATTCAATGAGATGAGCAATGAAAAGTATACTCACCGACCAGAGAACCCTGAGCCCGAAGGAAAACATAAATATATAAAATGTAAACTTCCACCTGAAAATGAAAAAAGCAGACAAAAAAATAAATAAATCACATACAGAGCTTGATATGCAATACAGCAAAAGTTAACTTGAACTAGAACCTAATCTGGCACCTCATATATGGAATTTCCAGTCTGAGATCCACAGAACTTCATGCATTGTATGCTAGCCAACAGCATGCTCTTTGATACAGTTTATTAAAATGAATGCATTTCAGACACTTCATACAACAATACCCCAGGTCTGTAAAGTATTCCTAAAGAATGGCTACAAAAGAAACAAGTGTGCTAGCCACAGGTTAGAGAAAGTGACATATGCATGCATCATGGCAGCTCTGTAGTCTAAGGGACACGCACAGGAATCTGAAGTCTGGCAGATCTACATTAAAAAGATACCATTAACACAATCTAGAGCGGATACAGGTCAAATGACTCCCACTCACCTAAGGAAAGTATCTTGGGGAAGAAGCCATTGGGGAAGAGAAGTAGAAGCCATAGAAGTAGCAGGCAGGAAGGCAAAGATGCTCAAATACTATAGTGATAGAGGCCATGCATAAAAAGGGTAAGAAAATAAATTTAAGTGGGACTGAAAAAGAATGTGAGTTCAGGAAATATTCATGTAAGTGCTTTAGAAAATAATTTTAAAAATAACTTTATAAAAATTAAAGGCCTGCAAATAAATAAGACAGTTGCCTCAATGGCCCACTAGCACTGATGAGCAACTCAGATAAGGTTGGTAACAAATGGTGAGAGAGCTTGGGACACAATCAGAAGAGCCAGGGAACACGTCATGCCTCCCCACAAACTGTTCACTGTAGAACAAAACTTACTGGGCTACACCACCATGGTTGAAGAGCTTTTCCAACAAAAACTAAACATCCTAATTGCTCTACTGAGAATAGAAATGAAATAAAAAATTTAAATGGAGCATAAAAAGTAATAAGAGCATATTACAATTAGCCAATTTTATTCCAAAATTACTGTAACATCATCTTCACTCAAAGATGCTTCCTTTGAAAATAAAGCATGATTGAAACTATAAAAACCTAACTCCACAGAAACCTACATGCTCTCACAGAATTTTGTGAAGACGGGTGGTTTATCCTGGTTCCTCCGATGACGAAACCAGCGCTGGATTTTTCGGACATCCCAATCTAGCTGTTTTGACAAACCCTCTAACCTTCTTGCATCCGGACACTAGGAGGAGATCAAACAGATGTAAAGAAATCTCTTATATTCCTTAGCAACCTTCCAAAACATACTCTGCTATTCCTACCCAGTTATCATAATCCTTTGAAATTCTGCAGACATCATCATACTCAAAAAAGTAACTATGGCCAAACCTTCAGTTCACATATATTCTTCCAAGATTTATGTCTACCATCCTTTGTTCACATATATTTGAACACTCTCACACGTGGAGGATATATCATGACCTTCCACTTCGTTTGTACTCTCCAAACAGAAATACAGGAGGATCTTCTTTAATAAGGTACCCATATTGCTGTGGTTCCAAAAAAGCAATTTATGTAAAGAAATAAGAAACTGCCTTGTACTGAATAAGCACACTGAGCTACCTAGCCTAGTAACACCTATTATTATAAGTGGCAGTGAGTCTTCAAGGTCCCAAGCAAAGTTTTTTTCTAGCCCTGCTATTTGATAAATTTCCACTCAAGTTGTGAGGGTCTGAATCTGGGCCTTCCTCCAATCCAAGTGCATGACCAACACCAAATTATGGCTTTTCTACATTTATGTATTGGTAAAATAGCTCTGTAGTTTTCACAGCACAAGCTGCCAAGGCATGCCACAATTCTGGTTTCAAAGGAGCCTGCCCATCTGCTGTGGGAGCTGAAGTAGTAAGGGGGGAAATCCCAATGGCAACTGACACCGCACTTACGAAAGCAACTCTTTGGGATTGCTGCCAAAGTCATTACACATAGATTTAAGATAAGCTAACATTATATATTTAATATAACAATATACTAAACACAAAATGGGGGGAAATCTTAATTGCTTAAAATGCAGATTTATTTTATTCTGTTTTATTAGACTTACTAGTAATAAAGCCCATTGCGGAAAGAAATGGAACGAGCCCTAGGAAGAGGCCCTGGGGGAGTGCGGCGGGCTGCAGTAGTCGCCTGAACCCCCGCCTCTGGCAGTTGCGGGCGAGCAACATGGGTCAAAGCACCGTTGGACGCAGGGCTGGGTCTTGCATTATGCGGGGTTAAGGCTTTAGCTGGCTCGCCCCCTCCCTTGCCAGAAGAAGGGGCGGCAGTGTCCTCAGCCTCCACGCCCAACTGCCGGTAAAGCAGCACCCCTCTGCTGCCACTGCCCGTGTTGCAGCTCCCACCCCCGGGGTCAAGCAGCTGGAGGCGGTAGGCGCAGCAGCGTCTCTGCATCGGGGAGGCCTTGTGTTGGGTGTGGTGGTGGTGCTGGTGGTGGCAGTGGGGCCCGGCGCAGAGTGGGGGCAGAGTCACTTCGGCCAAGCCAGATGACGACAGAGTGGGTGGCAGAGAGGTGGCCTCCTGCCGCAGCAGCAGCCAGCCCGCCCTTGGCGGCTTCAGAGTCCGCTGGTGCCTCAGCACAGGCAGCCCACGCCGCAGAGAGTTTGTGGAAATGGGCCAGGGACCGGCTCAGTGGCTTGGGCAGGCGGGAAGAGGCAGCGGCTTTCTCCTCCTCAGGGCCATGCATGAGGGAGACAGAGGAGCCAAAACGCAGCAGGGCTCAGCTGAGGCGCCGCCGCCACCGTCTTCCGCTCCCTCACACAGGACGACGCCTGCCCATCAGCTGGCCTCTGCCGGGGCTTCTGCACCGCCAGGCCCGGCCTCTCCTAGGCCGGCCAGCGACGTGGCTTGGGTGCCCCAGGGTGGGCCAGATGGAGCTCCCTCGGGGTGCTTCCCTGTGTGAAGTCACCCGGCCAGCCCTCGGGTTCCAAGTACCCCATGGGCCCTGCCTCTGGCCGGCTGCCCGAGAACTGGCTGCTTCACAGGTGTGGGGCTTCTCCCTGCCAGGTCACAGACGCGAAGCCCGAGAAGGCGGTGGAGGCCTGGCATGAGACTGCGGGCAGGGGGGATTTTGGGGGGAACCCCTTCAGTGCAAGGAAAAGTGTTTAGGTGGGGCAAATGAGCACCACAGGGAGCTCATTGGGCAGCAGTTCTCTCCCTGGCCAGGTTTCTTTACTTTTCTGGCCTTTTGCTCCGCTTCCCCCCGTCTCCCAGCCGGCCTGCTCACCCTCTGGCCCCCGGAGCATCCATCCTGTTGGTTGGCTCAGAGGACACCGAGACTCTGGCGGCCGCCTCTGTGGGTGGGACTGAGGCAAGGCAGCCAGACAATGCAGGCAGTGCATTCTGATTGGCAGCTGAGGGAGCCAACTGATTTTGCCGAGCATGGAACTTCGCCACCCCAAAACAGATTATATAGGAGAGATATCCTGCCCTCCCTACACCGTAGGCTCAGGGCAGGTACCAACATATAGGTCTGCAATTAGTGCAGATTTACAATTAAAACATTTTATAACAATCCATTAAAATCAATAAAATCAGCAACGCAACACCAAAACAACAACACGCCCCAACAGATAATATTGTGGTCCCAATTCAGCTTCTACGATCTGTGGTCACTGGAGGGGAGGACAGATCGAAGTGGATGCCCGCTGCCTCAACTAAAGGCCCAGGAAAAGAGCTCTGTCTTGCAGGCCCTGCAGAACTGTAACAGGTCCTGTAGGGCCCTGATCTCATAAGGTAGCTTATTCCACCAGGCAGGGGCAAGTCGGTCATCCCTAGAGCCAGGGAGTACTAGGAGATACCAGTTTGGAAAACACAACATTCTACAGGGCTTATATGGAGAGAAGCGGTCTCAAAAATATGCAGGCCCCTGGCACCAACACCTTTAAATGGATCTGGTATTCAATAGGCAGCCAATGCAGGTCATGTAGCACCGGGTAGATATGTAACAGCACAGGCAGCGACATCAACACCCACGCCTCTGCATTCTGCACTAGCTTCAACTTCCGGAGCAAAGTCAAGGGAAGCCCCACACAGAGAGAATTACAATAATCTAAGTCTGGAAGTGACCGTTGCATAGGTCACCCCAGCCAGATCACTGGGGGGAGGAGGGAGGTATGGAGCCAACTACCTGATCTGCCTCAGATGAAAAAAGGCAGACCTGGCAATGGGGGTGACCCAGGCCCCCACAGTCAGTGAGGCATCCAGAAACACCCCTAAGCTCTTTACCTTTGGTGTTAGCACCAACGAGTCCCGTCAAAGCCTGGGGTCCCAATATCCAACCCCAGTCCCCCATGACCCAAGTGCAGGATCTCTGTCTTTGACGAATTCAATTTCAGTCTGGTTTAACCATCCAGCCACGGCTTACAACGTCCTGTCCAGATGTTCAGGGGCAGGGTCTGGGCGATCGTCCATCAGCAGACAGAGATGGGTGTCATCTGCATATTGGTGACAACCCAGCCCACACCTCCAAATAATCTGGGCAAGGGGGTGCATATAAATGTTAAATAACATTGGGGAGAGAATCGCTCCCTGCAGCACACCACATCCAAGTGAGTGCCACTGAGACAACTCCCCTCCAAGTGCCACCCTCTGCCCCTGGTCTTGGAGAAAGGAGGCCAGCCACTGTAAGGCCAATCCCACATCGGTGAAGCAGTGGGCCAACAGTTCCTGGTAAACCATATCGAACGCTGCTGACAGATCAAGAAGAATCACCAGTGCCGAACCACCTCTATCCAGATGTCTCTAGAGGTCATCCACCAAGGCAACCAGAACCATCTTCATCCCATGACCAGAGCAAAAGCTGGTCTGGAAGGGATCCGGGATGTTAGCATCCTCCAAAAAAGCCTGGAGCTGTGTTGCCACCACCCTTTCCACTACCTTACCCAGAAGCAGATGTCAGTACCTAAGAACGACCATTGGACACTTACCGTGAGTGGTCCTTCTCCTCTGAGGACAGGAGGACATCTGCATGGGTTATTCCCACCGTGCCAATAGAGAGGCAGGAAGTAGATTCCCCCCCCCCCGTTGGTGCCTTTGGAATATCCCATCTCCAGTTCTGGGACTCCGAAAGCAGTCTTGCAGCCTGAAAAACTAACCTTGCCCTATAAAAAACATAACTGTGAACAATTATATCAATTGAATAATCACTCTATCCTGTAACTAAGATAGAGAGGAAAGAATCGTCCCATCATGGGAGAGTGCAGAACAGGAAGAAATTCTCAGCACGGAATATGAAAAAAAAGTGAACAAGAATAGTAAAAACAGGAAGAAAGATGACAGTGAGAGGGCCCAGATGCCTTACTGTCCTCAGAGGAGAAGGACCACTCACGGTAAGTGTCCAATGGTCGTTCTCCCTCTGAG